ATGAGATTCTTCCATCCCAAGTGCAGAACTTTGCATTTGTCTTTGCTGAACCTCATGAGATTCCTTTTGGCCCAATCCTTCAATTTGTCTAGGTCACTCTGAATCCTAGCCCTACCTTCTAGTGTATTTATTACAGCCCTTAGCTTGGTGTTATCCGTGAACTTGCTGAGGGTACAATCCATCCCATCTTCCAAATTGCTAATTAAGATACTGAACAAAACCGGCCACAGGCCTGACCCCTGGGGCACTCCACTTGATACCGGCTCCCAGCTAGACTTTAAGCCATTGATCACTACCCGTTTAACTGGACAATCCAGCCAGCTTTCTGTCCACCTTAGTCCGTCTGTCCAGCCGTCCGCCCCTTCATTCATTCATTCATTCGCTACTTCCTTAGCTTGCTTGCAAGATTGCTGTGGGAGACTGTATCAAAAGCCTTGCTAAAGTCAAGGTATATATCATGTTCATTGCTTTCCCTGCATCCACAGAGCTAGTTATCTCATCATAGAAGGCAATTGGGTTGGTCAGGCATGATTTGCTCTTGATGAATCCATGCTGACTCTTCCTAATCACCTTATCCTCCAAGTGCTTAGAAATGGTTTCTTTGAGGACCTTCTCCATGATTTTTCTGGTGACTGAGCTGAGGCTGACTAGTCTAGGTTCACTGGATTCTCCTTCTACCCTTTCTTAAATATGGGTGCTCTATTTGTCCTTTTCCAATTGTCTGGAAGAAAAGGCATTGAGTACTTCAGCTTTTTCCTCATCATCAGTCACTAGGGTGCCTCCACCATTCAATAAGGGACCTACACTTTCCCTGACCTTCTTCTTGTTGCTAACATACTTATAGAAACCCTTCTTGCTATCCTTGACATTCCTTGCTAGCTGCATCTCCAATTGCACTTTGGCCTTCCTGATTTCAGCCTCGCCTCCTGAGCAATATTCTTATACTCCTCCCAAGTTGTTTGTCCAAGCTGCCACTTCTTGTAAGATTCCTTTTTGTGTTTAAGCTCACCAACGAGTTCTCTGCTAAGCCAAGCTAGTTGCTTGCCACACTTGTTATTCTTCCTGAACATCGGGGTGGTTTGTTCCTTCACCCTCAGTAAGGTTTCTTTAAAATACAACCAGCTCTCCTAGACGCCTTTCCCCCTCAGACTGGTCTCCAAGGGGATCCTGCCTGTTAGTTCCCTGAGGGAGTTGAAGTCTGCTTTTCTGAAATCCAGGGTTCATACTCTACTGCTCTCCTTTCTTCCTGTTATCCAGATCCTGAACTCAATCATTTCTTGGTCAGTGCTGCCCAACTTGCCATCCACTTCTACATCCCCCACCAATTCTTCCCTGTTTGTAAGCAGTAGGTCAAGAAGAGCACAGCCCCTCCAACACTTGCACCAAGAAGTCATCTCCAATGCTCTCCAAAAACTTCCTGGATTGCCTGCACACTGCTGTATTATCTTTCCAGCAGATGTCAGGACAACTGAAGTCCTCCAAGAGAACCAGGGCCTATGATCTGCAAAATTCCACTAGTTGCCTGAAGAAAGTCTCATCCGCCTCATCCTCTGGTGGTCTATAGCACATACCCACTACAACATCATCCTTGTTGCTCTCCCCTCTGCTCTCCACCTGCATGCAAGATTCCTGCAGGATACTGTCTTGTACAGTCCAGTGCTGAAACGTATTTGGCCATCTTGAAAGATTTCTTAGTGTTCATCATCCCTGTCATCATGCTTCCTTAGGTGGAAGCATGTATGCTGTAGGACAGGGGTTGTCAACCGGGGGTATGCGTATCCCCAGGGGTACTTGAGAAGGCCCCAGGGTGTACGCACGGGCGGGGATGGAGTGCCACCACGCACCATCCCGCGCTGCCACCACCTATGCAGCCAGACATGGGGGGCAGGGGAAGCTCATACGTGGCGGCTGCTGCTGCTCTGCATTCAGTCGCATGCCACCCCCCACCACTCCGAGCTCTGCATCTGGCTGCCAGGGGTACACTGCTTTGCATCCGGCCGCCGGGAGTACACTGATCCAAAAAGATTGAAAACTCCTGCTGTAGGAGCATGCCTGTGGGTGCTTTAAAGCCAGAGACAAAACCCCCCTGCTTCCCTGGCTGGTCCCAGACTGAGCCTACGTCAAGGACTCATCCTCTGATTTGCTCCGTCCCTCATGCTTCAGGATGCCAGGCTTCCAGACTTTTTTTGTTCTTGCAGCTATTTTTTTGCTTCCCCGCCCTTGAGAGCCTGCACTTTTTCACAGAGCCTGCATTTTTTCAAAGCCCACCTGAAATCAAGTTTTCTGTGAAAATTGCGAAATCACAATTTTGGCAGGTTCCTATTCATAAGTTACTTTGTATTTTTTGGGAAAGGTGGCATATAAATCTCATAATATAAATGTATACATACATACAGATATGCCATGCCTCACTCTCAAAGTTAGATAGTTATGAATTACTTAACAGCTCTAAAGATTCTGATAAGTAATTTAACTTTCCTAAAAATAAACTTGGAGACAATATTACAGGATGTCTGTTAGACAAGATAAAACATGAGCCAATGGGACACACATCTAGTTACTCGCTGATCTTCATTATGTTATCTATTGGAGTGTACTGAATTGCAGCAGAACCAAAAGCTAAAGATTCACCCCCACCTTTTCCTCCTGCATTTTGTAAGGTAAATTCAATAGATTATTTTAATTTTTGAGGCTGCCAGGCCACAAGAGTGTCAACCTCAAGTTAAAAATGGTGCAAGATATTTCAAACCAACACCAAATTGTTTCACATAGTAATGGAATAGAT